AAAAAAAAATGAAGAAAAAAGTATAAATAATAACAGCAAAAGAGAAAGGGTGAACAACTTTGAAGAAGATTGAAACGGATCGCAAATGGCCTTTTGAAACTTATTAGCCTAACAGTTTTTTCAAAGTTCAATTTTGGTTGATAGACTTTTTGGGAATCATATTTCATTCACGTGAAGCTGTGATTTTGCCATTTACAAGCAATTTCGGGAATATTTAGGGACCTTACGAAACTTGCGACGGCGACAGCAACGACAGCGTCAAAATGCAATAAGTGCGTCACGCTTTTTTGTACATTTTTTCCCGTTTCCTGTTCGGCTATGTGACATGACCAAACTTGAAGACGAGAACGGCAAGGCGATAAATTCCACCATCTCTGTTTGAACTCGGGCGTGGCCCTCTCTCTTCAGCTCCAACATAAAGTCCCTTGTTTTAAGTAACTTGACGACGAAATGGTTTGAAAGGATGCTGGAGCTATTTTTCAGCGACGTTTTCATTGACGTCGTCGTTGTCGGATCGCAAGGTAACTCAGCTACCCAGGACATATATATACGTCCTCAGACAAATGAAATCACCAAAAGTCTGGTCGTTCAAGTTGCCTTGAACAAATAAACTCCGGTCTTTGAGAAAGGTCGCCGGTTCTGGGGTATATTTGGCTCTATTAAGAAGATTTTTGTGGTGTGCTAATTTTGAGCAATTGCCATTTTTATCTGGTCAGGAACGATGATATAACAATCACCAATCACAATCGCCATTTCTCAAACTCACTTACAGGTGCATCGGTGGCCGTAGAAAAAGTTTCCCTTTACAATCTGATTCCTGAGCTGGAAGATTTGTCGAAGGCGTCATTCTACTCTTACAAGGGTTCTCTGACCACACCCCCGTGCTACGAGTCTGTGCGGTGGATTGTACTGAAAACTCCTATTGATGCCAGTAAAAAGGATGTACGAACCTTTTTTACTTGGATATCTATCTATTTCATTATGTCATTTATTCGTTGATTTATGTCTTATTTACTTCTTTGCTCATTTTATTTGTTTAAAAATTAACTTTACGGTTAATTATACGGTAATAAGATACTAAATCAAGAAAATAATGGTTAGGGAAGACACGTTAGCCATCTATCAATTTGTACTATGTGTTTGAACTTGACTTGGACTTGAACCCAGAGTGTCTGCAAGTGTGTCTAAATATCCCCAAAATGTTAACATTGACCCCCCCGGGGGAGAGGGGAGAATGGGGTGTGTTAATTTAATCTTCGGAGTCGAGGTAAGGACATAGCCAATTAGAAGGGAGACGTTATTCCATTTTTAAACTTTCGCCTCATTGACAAAGTTTATTCCCAGTAAATATAAACCATGTTTGAAACCAAGTGATTCCTGGAGGAGTGTAAGGGAGGGCTTATGGTTTGATCAGACGAGCTTTGTTTTTAAATTTTAACTTTGCGAATTTTTGCATAAATGAATTCCCACGGAAGAAGAGTTGAAAAGAATGCGACCGTCGCATAAACGAGGTTTGGTGGTGTGTTTTTTTTTTTTTTCTTGACGTTATCCTTCATATTCTAACTGCTTTTCGAAGGGGGCTAGCAACTTGCGAAACAGGATTTTGTTTTTTTTTTTTTTTTTTCCATTTCAGGCCCCTGAAAACTTCACCCTTTTTGATCACTCCCTTCCCCCCCTCCCCACTTTACCGGGTCTCCATAGCCCGGCTAAAA